TAGAAAACTCATAATCATATAATGTGCTGCAATTTACACAATTTCCTTTTGGTTTTTGGAATCTTGAAATACAAAAGAATAATGAAAACATCTTGCATTGCTCATGTGTCTGTAATTCTTTTGTTGTTTTTCTCAAAATTATTGTTATAGAATCATGGCGCAGTATAACATGAAACAGGATTAAAGTTTTGAATTACAGAACACCTTGTTATACTGCGTTCCCTGTAAAAGATAATTGAGACGCACCGCTTATAATTAGTGGGATGAAATATATTCAGATACATTTCAAAACTTATAATAGAATAACGCTTTAAAACTGTTATTATTGAAAAGTAAATTGGCAGACAACTAGTAAATTCAGGAGGATTTCAAACATCATAACATTGTTTCAGAGAATGTTCTCACCAATGATGTCTAGTGTTGTGGAGGCCTCCATGTTTCCCAGCTGAAAGGTGACTGCTTTGCAGGTGTAGGTGCCAATGTCCGCAAACCCTACCATCTGCAGAACAATGGAGACATCCTGCGCTGAAGGTTTGAGGAAGTGAACGCGTTTGCTGTACTCCTCCGCAACAGATGTCCCATACAACGGGTTGAACACAGCCAGGGTGACTGTGCCTGTAGGTAGCTGCCGTTCCCATGAACTCTGTGTAAGGCTGAGGTCAGTACCCACCTCCACTCTGCAGCTCAGAGTGACATTCTTGCCCAGGATGGCAGTGACCTGTGCCGGAACCACCACTTCACCTGTATTGACACCTGCACGACACAGACCATCGTTGGAATTATGTAGTAAGCAACAAGAGAAAAATTTTATATTTATTTTCTTACCACCTACTGGAATGAGATATAAAAAATCTAATGGACTATTAGTCACAAATAAAACCAATGGTGAAATGTTTGAATTTATTGATTCCAACTTCCCAAACCACTTTGTGTTGCATAAATAATGCAAGACGTTTTAAAACCGACCTCAGAGAAACCTTTTACATTATAGCGTGGATCAGTTTAAATCTCTATATGCTCTTAACAAGTTCCATCTGTCGAATCTTGCTGACATCACCCCCCTTTCATCAGGAGGAGCCTTGAAAGGGCAAAAGTGAAGTGGAGTAGTGGGAGATCCAGTACAGCAGCAGATAATGAAGGCTGCTGTTATTTAGGGTCCGTGCGGGAGGCCGTGCTTCTCAGCGGCAACAGCCTGGCTTTGCTGTGCCACACACCAGTAATGAGTTCCCACTGTCCTAATGCTATTCGTCTGAGCAGCTTGCCTCATAAAACCATCTGGAACCAGATGAAAAACACCAACAGCCAATTTGAGGAGTTTATGTTGTTTAATAGGCCTCTTTAATCTATGTCTGTGCCCTTTGCATGCTTATTTGATAAATACAGACTGAGGTTGTTTGCTGATGCATGACAAAGTGATATTCTGGCAAGATGAATGGTTTGTGTGGTTGGTAAAAATTTAAATGAAACTCAGGTGAAACAAAGTTATACATTTAAAATAATGGCAATTTGTTTTATGGTACTATCATGATCAACATATAATGAAATTACTTCAGGAACACAGACAAAACATGTTTGAAATCTAATCAGCCGTTCTTAAGATCCTGGCGATAGCCCTTTAAGAATGGCTTAGAATAGATATCTGATTATAATATAAGAATTTTGATGTACCAGAATGTTATGATTAGGAATGTAATGATCCACTCTATTCGTTTACTATATGATGTGCATGACAATATTTTAAAACACTGTTTTTAACCAACTATTTTTATAACAAAATGTAATTTAAAAAGTTTTGAGACAACAAAGCTAAGAAGGCTAGGATCTACTTTGATTTGTACAAGAGAGCGTTTGATACCATCCATTCAATAGGAGGCAGTGTTAATGTTCACGTTAATCATCTTTTTTACTAAGTTGTGGCGAGAGCTAATTTTATAATCCTTTTTTGTTTACATAGCGAGTAAAGGATAATTCTCTTCTAGTAAATATTACATAAAACAAGAAGATAAGGTAAAGAAGTTTCAGACTTGACTAGAATCACAGTCACTCCAAGAAGCAAATACATTTCAACTCCGACACAATATCTCCCAGTAGCTCCACGATACGTATTATGACAAATTTGTATTGCATTATACTGTGCCACGATATATTGTTACACCCCTAGTTATGATATGTTAAGAAACTACACTCTTTCTAGAATAATATCGAAAGAACTTTGCTTCCTCAAAATGCCACTATTTGACTCTACTTGTGAATAACAGCATGCACAGCAGGCTTCCTTGAACCGTTGAGCCATTAAGAGCGGGACATTTTTTTAGTAGAGGTGATGTTGGATGTTAAATGACTAATTTCAGGTGCTGTTTAATATTTAGAATGCATTATCAGGCCCTTAATTATTGTGGGTGAATGAGAGATTTTGTCTAATTATAATGACTTAGAAAAATGCAAATTCACGATTTTGGTTGGTTTAGGTGCAGAATGTACCGGCATGGCTGGTAGAGTGAAGCCAAACTGCGCCGAATGCCCCCATGGCGCTGGCTGTCAAATGATTTCCTCTCAATACAAGAAAAGTGAAAAAGCCAAACTTTAAAAGCATTTTCCTCAGAAATTATACTAATTACAATGATTTGATATGTTTTAATGATTTTTTAATGAAGTTTTCTATACAGTGAACAAAGTTCAATCATTTTTATTTTCATGTGGCTCACGATGGACCAATTTGTCCCACAAAAAAGAAAGGCCATGGTTTTGACAAATATGATTGATTGCAACACTGAACTCAGCAGACGGACCACTGCCATCACAATCGCAAGAAAAATCATTTACACTACCAATGATCAAATTCAGAAAAGTCATTCTCAAACTCTTGTCCACAATTGCAAAATAAGTTGTAACACTCTTTCTATAACTGTCATCATGGCAGCCCTCAGGACAGCTCAGCGGTTGCCTCATATTAGCCCAATGGCAGTAGGGTTCACATCGGCTGTGTCATGTCATGTATATTTTTTTTTACAGTCTATGGTAACTATATGGACAATAAATTACTAACTAGCAAACAAATTGTAAACCACTGATCCTTCTGAAACAAAATTTAGGGATCTATGCTGAAGCTAGGCTAAAAATGCTAGCTCCAGACACACTGAATGACTGAATTGATGGCTCCGTTGGTAAGGTACAGTTCAAACAATGCCCATCCCCATAGAACGCAAGAACTGATAAATTGTATTAATAATGCAAATATTATAAACAAGCACCTGGCAATTGTGTACATTTATATGTAATATTATCTCCAGAGCAATTGTTTATTGAGCCTATTTCCAAAAACGTGGGGTGTTCATATGAGGAATACTGAACCTTATAATAATCTACAAAATGCTAAATACACATCATACACATTTTCTAAAAAATGTTTTGTTTTTTTATCATACTTGCATAAGCAAGAGTTTGTGATGTTCTTGGAGAAAAAAATCCAAGAGGTTTCCGTGAACATTCCTTGAAAACTGGAAATTACAGGCTACAGAGGAAGCAAAACATTCAGAAAGAAACATTGCATGTTAAACTAAAATCTCCTGAACCATTAATCCCCACAAACTGCTGAATTTCATGTGGAAATCTATTAATGGCGACACAAAACTTTCCCCTCCTGAAAAAGACGGCAGTGAGTGCTGTTTATACAAATGAGTCCTCTATGAGTGGTTCCTTCAAAACACTCACAATGTAAAAAAGCTACACCGTTTAAAAAACAGACTCTATATGGAGCCTGATCATAAAAACCAGTTCATGGAGGCACCAAACAGTGGCTGATATTTTGAAACCTTGGCAGCTGCAGAGTAGTGGTTAACCTCTATTATATCTAGACTGTATGGGTGCAGGCTCTCCCTCTGCCTGTTGCCCTGCGCAGCCTGTAATTGAGATAATACCACCACATACACATGCATGCATGAAGGAAAAGGAGGAGGGTGAATATGTAGTCAAGCTTTCTACTCCACATTTGCTGAAGTCCTTAAAGAATCAATCATTGTATATCAGAAAACTGGAAATGAGGTAAACCTTGATCGCTTCTATCCAATTTTATTATGTGACATCAACTTTTCACTTAAGAGGGATTAACACTTTTAACAATCTTTACATATGAAAACCGTACGGGAAGTGACAATGTGAGTTTCATCCGAGACCAAGACTTTGTTTTACCCATGCAGAGTTATAATGAGCAGTTATAATGAATAAAGCTTAAATCTGTGCTTGACTATCAACAGAACTTAAGATCAGCTGAACTTCAGATGTGGTCTCATGTCTGATGTCTAGATGGTACATAAAAACACAGGTGAGTGCAAAGGGGATTTAGTGTTCTTAGGATGCAAAGCCATATAATTCTATCTTTTGGTCCCATTTAGCTTCAGTTGCTATTTCTATTCAAGGTTAAACATTGACTCCCATTAAAGAGGAGATGAAAATCTTTTTATACCATGGTATAATGTACACACACATATATATATATACATGAATATGAATACAACAGCAAGCACATTGCTGTTATCTTAAACTGGAATGGGTGTTGTTTAGAAAGCCTTGTTATACAAGTCTGGGAGGACATATCAAATAACAAATCATTTGGTAACAGGTTTTGGGTCAGGCATTTCATAAAAAACAAAACCATGCTTTTTGGGAATTTCAGAAACTGTGCATTGAGGAGTTGACCAAGTTAACCAAGCACGCAATGAACGAGTGACACGTGAGGCGTACATTAAACAGCCCCTTTTATGGATTTCTGAAAATGACCTTTCATGCAGTGTATAGCACAGCTCCAAGTATGAGGAACATGAGTTTTAAATGTGAAAGGTATGTGTTAAGTAAGTGTCTGAGTCGCTGAAATGAGTCGGAATTAAATGAAAGTGAAGTGAAACTGACCAAGTATGTATAATATTTGTGCTCTGCGTTTTACCAATCCAAGTGTACGCACACAGCAGTGAACACACACCCTGTAGCTGCCATAGCGGCCACCACAATTTCAGACCACAGGGATTGAACCAGCGACCTTCAGATCTCCAGTCAATCACTTTATCCACTAGGCCATGACATTGTGACATACAAATGTACCACGCCCTGCCTCCACCCACTCACTAAAACACAGGAAATGGACTTGCTAATGTACATGCATGCAATGCTGGATTTGGCTACATGTGTTTACAGTTTATTTGTATTAGCCTCTTCCTCCCAATCACAACTAGTAAGTAAGATGATAAAAGATACTGTAGTTTCTCTTTTGAATGCAAAACATTGGCCACACAAAACCTTGTCACTTTGAGAGCAACCCAAATATTTGTCACAGTTGTCTGTCGAGAAAAAACTTTGAAAAGCTTCTATTATTTAATGTTGTGGCACAATCTGAAACTACCGTACAAGGTTTGCTAGGGATGGCAAGTTGATGGATATTGGAAAGAAAAGAACAGATGTGTTACAACTTATAATGAAAAAGCATTCTAATAATATTATAAAAGTGTAATTAGAGCTCCCCAAAATGATAGGCACATTTAAGTTCCTTTTTATAATGTTAAACATTAATTGACACAGTTGCTTTTTTATGTACTTGCATATCAGACTTCAATAATTTTATTAAGACATTAACAGGGAAAAAAACATTGTGAAGTTTCTAATTCCACACTGTACACATGCATCACAACAAAAGCAGTTTTAAAGATGTAATGCATATTAGTTACATTTTATGGGTTCTATTGGCCAGGTTTTTTTTTTTTTATTGGACCTGGCAACCTTAGCTGTGGCCCGAGGATGTCTGTTGTGCTCAGGGCAGAGCAACACTCAGTGTGTGCTGTCTCCACCTCACGGTAGTCTGAGCTGTGGGAGCAGGTGGCACCTGTCTACGAGCCAACCCAGCACTGACCTCGCAACCCTTCCCAGTCACGAACACACACATAAACCCAGCCGTGCTCATCAGGAGGATCACCAACACACACAGACTAAAATATATTCCAGCAGTCGGCTGTGAAAACAACCCCAAAAAACTACAGACCACTATGATGAAATGTGTGGTATGTCACACAGTTTGTACAAATACAAATGGCAAATGTTCTTCTTGGCATGACTAGCATTTCAGGGAACATTGGCATGTGCAATGAGACAATTTGTGTAAATTGAGTTCTAAAAGGTTTTGAGATCATCTATGCTCACACATTATACACATGTTCTAAGATTCAACTTATTTAACATAAGCTGGGAATAATAAATAATAAGATTCAAGCAGTCAATGAAGATAATCACTAAAACACCTTACAGCGGTGAAACCCAGTCATGGTGCTGATATTAACAGAAAGCGTTGATAATAACAGTGTCTAAAGGGTCGAAAATAACTACTGCATTGACATTATCATTTAATTTAGAAAATGAATCAAAAAAGTACATGCGTTAGTTCAGCAATTTTTGCACTGGGCCACATCACAGATACAGATGAATGTTATGAGAATATGATCTACACGTATAAGAAACAGAGGACATTTTATTGTGCAAGAGGACATTTAACGTTTTTGGTCTTACCACTGCTTTGATCTAGGCAATCTTTGGTCTCAGTTTAAGCTTTCTGTGGTCTCAGTTGTGCTTCTGCCACAGTCTCAACAGTCTTTGGTCTTGATCGTACCTCAGTCGATCTTTGCTGTTTTGCCTCAGTCTTTGCTGTCATTGGTATTGACTGTCTTGAGACTCAAAATTGTCTTTCCCTTGCCCTGGTCTCAAGTGTCTTCATGCCTCTGTCTTGGCTATCTTTGCTCTCTGCCATGTCTCTGTCTTAGCTGTCTTTAGTCTCTGTCGTGCCTCAGTATGAGCAGTATTTGGTCTCGGTTTTGTATTGGCCTTGTATGTCAGTGGTCTTAGCTGTCTTTGGTTTCTGCCGTACCTTAACTCTGTTGCCTTTGTTCTCAGCAGTCTTTGATCTCTGTCTTGTCTGTCTTTGGTCTCGGCTGTGCCTCTATCTTGAATGTCTTTGACCTTCGTCATGCCTCTGCCTTGATTTTCTCTGGTCTCCGCCAAGCCTCGGCTGACTTTGGTATCTTTCATGCTTTGGTCTAAGCTGTTTTTGGCCTTATTCTTGGTTGTCCTTTGTCTCAGTCATGCCTCAGCTGTCTGGTCTCCTTTATGCCTCAGTCTTGGCTGTATTTACTCTCAGTCCTGGCAGACTTTGGCCTCTGTCCTGCCTCAATTTTCTCTGGTCTCGACCATGCCTTGGCCTCAGCTGACTTTGGTCTCTGTCAAACCTTTATCAAAACTGTCTTTGCTCTCAGTTCTGCCCTTGTCTTGACTGTCCTTAGTCTTTTCTGTCTCAATCTTGAGTGTTTTGTGTCAGACTCTGCTGTCATTGGTTTTGGGTTTGACTGTCTTGACTGTTTTGCCTCGGACTCAGTTGTCTTTGGTTTAGGTCTTGCATTGGTCTGAGGTGACTTTGGTCTGGTTCGTGTCTCTGTCTTAGCTTTATTTGGTCTCTGTCATTTCTCAGCTGTCTTCGGTCTCTGTTGTGCCTATATTTGATCTCTTGGTCTCGGTTTTGAAATGGCGGTGGTCTCAAATGCCATTGATCTTGGCGGCCTTTGGTTTCGGTCTTACACTGGTCTTCACTGTCTTTGGTCTCTGTCTTGACAGTCTTTGGCCTCAGTCATCCCTCGATCTGGAATGTCTTTGGTCTCTGTCTTCCCTTGGCCTGAACTGTCTGTGGTCTCGTTTATGCCTCAGTCTCGGCTCTATTTACTCTCAGTCATGGTTGTCTTTGGCCTCTGTCAAGTCTCTGCCTCGATTTTCTTTCATCTCTTCCTAAGCTGTTTTTTGGTCTCATTCTTGGCTGTCATTGGTCTCAGTCATGTCTAAATCTTGGACTTGTCTCTGCTTTGGCTGTCTTTGTTCTCTGTCTTGACTATCTTTAGCCTAGACCAGGGGTCAGCAACCTGCGGCTCTGGAGCCTCCTTGTAGTGGCTCAGATGGCCGTGACAAAAAAAAAAACACGAAATGTTTTTTTTTTTATTATCGTCATTATATGTTCATTTTGATGCACAATTCCCCTGGGGTTTTAGTTGATACCATCTAAATAAAGTTTTTTAATTTTTTTTTTTTTAATAATTTGTCACTTAAAATATGTCACATCAATGTCAGCAGCCGTCGCCTTTACTTGCTGGCGGGACCACGGCAGGAACCCCTACCACTGTAAGCATGAAAAGAGCCCAAAAAAGAAAAGTGTCGGAAGAAAATAAAGAGTTTAATGCAGCGTGGACATCTCCTTTTGCATTCACCGCCAATGACGCTGGCTTACCTGTGTGCTTGATATGTAGTGAGAAACTATCAAACAACAAAAAAGTAACGTTGAAAGACATTTTCAAAGCAAGCATTTCGCATTTTCTGAAAAATACCCAACCGAAGATGAGCGCCAGAGAGCAATTTCGGAATTGCAATGACAAGCTGAAGAGAGACAAAAATCACAAAGTGATTTTTTCTTTCAAGTTCTTTGAGGGCACAAAGTGGCTCTTTTGATAAAAAAAAGGTTCATGTCTTGGTCTTGGCTGCCTTTGGTCTACAGTATGGGAGAATCACACTCCTCAATAATTTAGAGAGAAGATACACTCACAACAAGAGAGTGAAGCTCAGTAAGATTGTTGATGCTTCTGTTTCAATGGACAATGCATTAAAGATAATAGTTACATTAACAATGTATAGTATTTAAATAAATAGTAAAGTGTACAAGTAAATGTATTTCTAATACAGTAACAACAAATTAGCCAGAAATTTCACCATGTAACCAACCCCATAGAATGAAAATACCCTTTACCCTCCACCCCACCGTCAGTGTTCATCATAAAGTTACTTCCTTGGCGATGGAATGCAACCTTTGCAATAAAATGGCAAATATTTTAAAAATGTTTTTCCTCTTATCCTGAATTTTTACGCTCTGTCATGATCTTTTAGGTCACTTTCCACACTACAGAGCTGTACCAATGAACTGAAAACATAGTAATTTACTGACAAAACAAATGTTTGTATTTTCTGTTACTTTTGCACATTATTTATATGACAAAGATGGAATTTATGACTCAGTATAAAAAAGAACATGTAATGGTCGACGTTTCTGGTATGTTGCAAGGGTTGTCATTGCAAATTAATTTTGTTCTTTTAGTAAAGCTGGTCATAAACTTTTAGCTGAGAAATGTTCTACTTTTTAAGCTGTATTGAATGATTCATGCACAAAATTTAAATGGTCTCTTATGCTCATCAAGAGTATCGCTATGAGGCCCGTGCAAGAGAGGAACAGATGGCCTGGGCCTGAGATACCTGAAACATGGCCAGGACGGCAAATTTGCCTTGATCATTACATTTCTTCTAAACATGCGAAAAACAGAAAAAATAAACCATGCAATGAATAATGACTTTGAATAAATATTTGTTATTGAAAAGAATTGCAACCCTTTAATGAGGACAATTAACATCCTTTCCTCGCAAGCATGCAAAGTTTATATGAGGACATCATAATCCAAAGGGTTCAATCCTTACTTCAAATGTACGACAAACAATTTCCCAAAATCATGTGAAAAAGTCATGCGGAGGCCAGCCAGTGAGGTTGAGAAGCATAGTGTGACTGCATTAAAAAAAGAACTGGCGGAGGTAACAGGGAAAAATTGAGAGGTCACAACACGGAAATGCAGAGAAGAGTGAGAACAAGAAGGAAATGAGGAGAAACAAATCAGAAATGTATTAATGAAAACGATACGCTTGCTCCTTGAAGCTTTGGTCTGTGTTTGTTTCCTTCTCTCCTGACATCACTAACTGCTACAAGCTGTTCACGAGGTTCAACTGTACATCCGAAACCCTCACCACTACGCATTCCAAGCCACATGCCCCAGTGTGAACTGAGATCGCAGCCTGACCTCGCCCTCTTGAGAAACATCTTAATTTGATTTCAGTAAGAGGAGACTCCCCGGTCTTTCTGTTAGGTCACTGGGAGGGGAACACCAGCTGATGGTGCACCCCCTTCTTTCAGATATCCCCTGAAAGGAGCAGGAAACATTTGAGCCCCAAAGTTTCTCTTGCACAAAA